GTTCGGATCCCACATACAGACCGGTTCCTGCTCACTGGTTGAGCGAGGTGCGGGCGCAACACTGAGGGTTGCGATCCCGTTGCCGGTCCGGTCCGGTCCGGGCGCGACACTGAGGGTTGCGATCCGTTGCCGGACACGAAAAAAAAGACAAAAAGGAAAAAAAATAAATAAATAAAATAAAAGACCCCAAATAGCCAAAGCAATTCTGAGCAAAAAGAACAAAGCTGAAGGGATCACACTACCTGACTTCAAAATAAACTACAAAGCTATAGTAACTAAAACAGCATGGTACATGAAAACAGACCCACAGACCAATGGAACAGAACAGAGAATCCAGAAATCCACATGTATTTATAGCCAACTGATTTTTGTTTAATGCCTTTCTTTTCTGACCCCCAGAGGTAATTTTCTTAAATATTTTGTTTCTTACTACTTTGTTTTCTTTATAGTTTTACCACATATGTCTGTATCACTAAATGCAGTATCCATAAATAATATATAATATGTTTTTTGAATTTTATATAAGTGGAACCATATCATAATTGTCTTTTCATTTAAAAAAAAATCATCATCTTTAAGATTCATCCACATTGTTCCTTGTAGCTGCAATTCATTCACTTTCTGTGGTAAATAACATTCTATTATAAGAAGATACCATAATTTATTTAACCATTCTAATGCTTGTTGGCATATGAGTTTTTTCAAGTTTTCTATTTCAAAGAATACTGCTATGAACATTTTTGTGCATGTTTTTTGGTGTATATGGGCAAAAGCTCTTCCAGAAGTGAAATCACTGGGTCATAGAAACAGAGTAACTGTTTCATATGCAGCTTTATAAGACAATAACAAATGATCTTACTTCTTCTCTCATATCTTATTAATTACATCTTATTAAATTTTCTAAAGTGGTTGCATTAATTTACACATTCACCAGCAGAGTTTACATGTTCCATTTGTTCCATAACTTGTCAACACTTGATATGATCAGATTTTTATATTCTTGCTAAATAGTGTAAAAGGCTATGTCATTGTGATTTTAATTTGTTTGTTCAATTATTGACAAAGACCATTCTTTCCTTTAAATCATCTTTTTTATACTCATATATACTTCATATTTTTTATACTTACATATATACTATATATGTGATTTATATATATAGTATATATATATATATATATGTTATATACTTTATAGACGTTATATTTTCATATCATTTTCTATTATCCAAGTGGGCTTCTTTTTGTTTGAGATACTTAAGTCTTCTGCTCATTTAAATATTAGATTGTTTGTCTTTCTTTTATTGATTTGTAGGAGTTCTTAATATGAGTACTAATCTATTGGTAGTTATGTTTTTCAAACATCTCTCACTCTGATGTTTGTGTTTTCATTCTCTTTCTGGTATCTTTTGATGAACAGAAGTTCTTAATTTTAATGTATCAAATTTATCATCTTTTCTTTTAAGTTTGGCACTATTTGTGATTTGTTTAACAAATCCTTCCCTGCCCCAAAGTCATAAGGATACCTCTTGTATTGGGTTTGAAAAATATAATGTTTGAATAATACAGGTTAGCTTTTTTTGTCTCTTCATATTTAAGTCTTTAATGCATGTGGAACTGATTTTTGAGTATGGTGTTAGGAATGTGTACATGTTTTTGTGTGAATTGTATATTATGTGTATGTGTCACCCTAATGTCCCAGCACTATTTACTGAATTGCTCATTATTTTGCCACTTGTCTAAAATACCAATTTTCTCATAAATCATGTTTCCATATATGTGTGCACCTGTTTCTAGGCTCTCTGTTCTGTTCTACTGGTCAATTTGTTTATGATTGTCTCAGTTTCACACTGTCTTTACTATAATTTTAAACTAATTTTTTGATATCTGACAAGGCAAATTCTCATGCTTTGCTGTTTTTTTTTTTTTTTTTAAGGGTGTGTTGGTAATTATAAGGCTCTGCTCTTCCATTTGGGATTCTGATAGGAATTGCATTTCCTCTAGAGATTATTTTGGGGAGAACTGACATCTTTATTGTATCGAGTCTTCTAATCCATAAACATGGTGGATCTCATTTTTTAAGCCTTTGTTCATCCACAAAGCTTATTATTAATTATATCCTATAATTCTTGCTTTCCAATTTACTGGTATTTAACATACATTTTATTTAATTTCTCTGGAGTTCCATATATGGTCTTTGAAATCTTAATATTTAATTATATCTTCTCCATGTGTAAAAGGTTTCAGAAGTTTTGCATCGCCTGTAGAGAACAGGATGCCAATGTCATAGGATATCTACATAAGAAAGACAGGATGGGGAAACAAGATTACTTGCTTCTCCCAAACTGGGTCTTCATTATTTTGTGGGAAGTTTACCTCTCTAAGAAAATACACATATTTTGAAGTCAACTGGATACGTTTTTTGTGTGTGCTTTACACACACAAAGTGCTTAGTAAATACTTGAGTAATTCTTTTATTATTTGCATTATCCACCACTCATTGTCCTCTGCTTTAATTGCACAACTGAAAACTGACTGAAAAGGGCTGATGTGACTAGAGACATTAAGTAATATATAACTGAATGCTTTAAAGATGACTTTTCATTTTCAAAGTACTTGTTCATACTACAAAACTAGTAAAATAGTCTAGTATTTTTCAAGAGAAAACAAAGAGTGAAAACCTCTTAATGTTTATAACCAAGGAATGAATAAGTGTTTCTGACAGAAATGGTATGAATCTTGACTCTTCATCTTATTAACTGTGGCAGACTCATGAACTTGATATATTGGTAATTACCAAATCTCCTGGAAAAACAAAAGTATTCTCAAATAAGAGGCACAATCTGAAAGAATTAAAAATTACCTGTAGAGTACAATTCATCATCCTTATTATGTAGTCAAACTGCTGATGATCTAATATTGCCCGGTTTTGTTGGACATGCAAACCCAGTTCATCAGTGAGACATTGTCGTGCTGCCTTTCCTTTAAGGGCTCTCATAGCAGCAGGAAGGGTCTGAGGATAAGGAAGGTACAAGTAACCAAAAGATATCACTGGAAAAAAAAGCTTTTAATCACACTGAAAATTCAATTATATCCTGTAAACCATTGAACAAAGTCGTTAGTAGAAATAAACTCCTGGGGAAGAAGTGATCTGCTATTAAGACCAATGATAAAATAGATTTGTGCTTATTTTTATTTGTAAGTCAGCAAGAAAAACAAGTAGAATTAGTTTATATGGGGGCCGGCCTGTGGCTCACTTGGGAGAGTGTGGTGCTGTAAGCACCAAGGCCACAGGTTCGGATCCCATACAGGGATGGCCGGTTAGCTCACTTAGGAGAGCGTGGTGCTAACAACACCAAGTCAAGGGTTAAGATCCCCGTACCGGTAATGTTAAAAAAAAAAAAAAAAAAAAAAAGAATTAGTT